GAGCAGAATTCAGTGGAGGAGGCAGGGCTGTAACTGGGCAGTAGGACAGACAGCAGAGTCAGAGCCCCCTGGGCAGGCCAGAAGGGGGACCCTGATCAGCTGACTCTTCCCAACTGCTACCCTTGGTACAACCAGCGTGAGCCACCTGCTGCAGAACAGGGGCTGGACACGGGGGCAGTCTGTGGAGGGAGAATGGGCAGAGGTACGCATGTCCATTCAGTAGAAGGGCAAAGAGGCCCACATGGAGGCCTATGATCAGACTGGAGCCTGGCTCGACTGAGGCCCTCTGATCCAAACACATTAACCAGTCACCTAATGCGGCCTCCAGCACTGGCCTGGAGTGCTAAAGTGAGTCAGACCTGGGAACCCCCAGTGGGGAGGCAGCCTTGAGAGTTTGGCAGAGGAAAGGAAGAAGAGCTGAGCCACTGGAGGCTGAGTGGCTGAACGGGGCAGGGATTCCCAGCAAGAATGAGGTTGGTCTGAGGGTTGGGAAAATGTGTGGCTGGGTATCTGGGGTGTAGACAGGTCACCCAGCCTGGTCAGAAGGGCCTAAGTCACCAGCTGGGATAGGAAGCTGAATCAGAGGGGGCAAGCCTAGACCCCAGGGAGGAGGCTGGAGGGGTCTGACCTATGGATGGAACTGACTGGGGGTGGGGTGTGAATTACAGCTCCAGGGAATTGTCCTTGACCCATGTTTCAAGGAGCTGGACACAGGAAAGGCGGACCTCTGATGGGGTCAGGGCCTGTGATCCAGTGACTGGCAGAGAGGCCTCCTCTTCCCTGATGCCTCCCAGAAGGGGCCTCAGAAAGCCGGTGCTGGGATTTTGGGGTGGGGGTGGGCAGAGACCTCAGAGAACTCAGGGTTCTCCCCACTCACGTCTCTGATCTCGCCTGCAGGCTGGCAACACAGCATTGCTTTTGCCCAGGTGAACCCCCTGAGGAAGGTGCCGGGCCTTGAAGGATGGGGACTTCACCTTGGCTGAGAGGTTACCAGTCCCTGGGCTGCTGCCAGGCCTGGTGGGGCCAGTCAGTCGTCTGTCTGTTCACTGTTGATGGCTTGGATCATGGACTGTGGGCCCTGCACCAGCCCCAGGGTGAAGAATGGGCTGAGGCAGGCAGAGGTGCCCAGTGTTGAGGGGGGCTATAGAAGTCCCCTCCTGCATTGTAGAAATGAGGAAACTGAGGCTGGAGGAGGGGAGGGATTGCAGAAGGCCAAAGGGCCCAGTCTGCTTCCAGGCCTCCTCACCACCAGCCCAGCCCTCTGAAGGAAGGAGAGTGCTAAGTTTCGAGGAGCGGCTGTACCAGGCATCTTAGTGCTACCATTTTGCCCACAAACCCTGTGGGGCAAGTACCTGGAGAGTCGAGGGACCACTCAGCGAGCTTCAGGGGCTATTTGCTAAACACCCACCAGGGCCAGACCCCATTTCAGCCCTGGGGCTTGAGCAGCGAACGTGTCTACGTCCTTCCCCTCATGGGATCACATTTCATTAATACAAGGGGGAGCTGACAGTAACCCATGTAAACATGTAACATACCAGATGTGGATGGATGCCATGGAAAAAATACACAGGGTAAGAGTGGGGGCATGTGTCGTTGAGTAGGATGCTGAGGGAAGACTCCCTGGAGGAGGTGGCACCTGAGCAGAGAGCTGTAGGAATGCGCAAGGCATGAGGGGAAGGGTGTTCTGGCTGGAGGGAAGAGGGTGAAGGCTCCAGGTGGGACAATGCGTGGGGTGCAGACTGGAGAGCAACGGGCCAGGGCGGGTGCAGTGAGCAGGAAGAGCAGGAGGTGAGGACAGAGGGTAGCATGGAACACTGGGAAGGCTTTGGGTCTTACTGCAGGTGGACTGAGTCGCCAGAGGGTTTTGAGCAGGGGAGAACTGTGATCTGACTTACGTCGTAAAGGATCCCCTGGCGGGGGTGAGAAAGCTACTGCAGTCATCCAGCCTGCAGCGCTGGAGCCCCAGACCAAGGCGGTGGTGGTGGTGCAGGGTTGGGGGGCGGGGTGGTGGTCGGTTCTGACTTTTCTTGAAACTCTAACTGCAGGGTTTGCTGAAGGGTCAGAGGTGGGCGGGAAAAATGAAAACCAAAAACGGCTTCCAGGTTGGTGGCTGCATGGTGGCGTCCTTTACCGAGGCCACGCAGTGCCTCCGTGGTGGAGCTGGATTCACATTCAGGGCCTGGGATCACTGGAGGGTCCGACACCCACAAAGGCACGATGAGCTCTGGGGGTCAGACTGCACAACGCTTCACCATAGGTGGACAGGGGATGGGACAAGGTGGGAAGCAATGCTACCATGTCACCTGGAAGGCTCTCTCCTGCTGGCCTTGCTCCTGGCCCTGTCCATGCTTTGGATATGTTGGGGAGATACCCAACTTGCTCTCATCTTCAGACTCACACTGGGTGCCCTTTCCTCCTGGAAGCCTTCCCTGATCCCCTGCTGAAGTACATGACATTTTGTTTCTTACTTCCTGCCCTTAGTTCAGATGATAGTCTGGCCCCGTGGAGGGCTGTGTGACCCTGGGCAGTTACCTAACCTCTCTGAGCCTCACGGTTCTCCTCTGCATCATGGGGATAGTGAAAATGCCCCAGAAAATGCCTGAAGAGTGATCAGGGCATGTGTTCTGCCCCCGCCATGTCCCCTCAGTGTGGCTATCTTGCTGCATATGAGTTGCATGTACAAAGCGCCTGACCACTGGTATCCCCAGGACCTGCAGGCCCGCGCCCGCGTGCATAAGTACCTGTCATGGCGGCACATGGCCCTGCAGAGTAGCTGCTGCTGGGCCATGTGGCAGAAGGCGAGCCATGGAGGGCAGGAACACCTCCCAGGATGCCCAAGGGATGGTGCTTTCACTTTACAAAATCCTGTTTAGACCTGAGACGAAATCCTGGAATGCCAGAGACTGCCTAATTCACCCAACTTGTTTCATAGAAGGGAAACCAAGGACCAGAGCCAAAGAATGATTCCCCTAAAGTGCCTTAAATCCTGAGCTACCACCTGCACACTTACACTCACACACTCATCGACGCACAGCCACGCATATTCACACATCCATCCACATCCACACACAGTCACACGATGTATCACATTCACACACATATATACCCACATATACAATCATACCATTTACACACGTTCACACAGTAACCCAGTTAACTCATGTACACACACATATACACCCACACAATGACACAATTCACTCATGTTCAATAAAGTCACACAACTCACTCACATTGACACACATACACACCAACCCCCTCCCAAACAATTCACACAGACACACACATGTACACCCCCTCACAGACACAGGCACACAATTCACACCAACAAAATCACACAATTCACTCATTCACACACATACACCCACATACACAAATTCACAGTGCTCACTCACATTTACACACCATTCAAATTCACACACATATACACCAACGTACACACAGTTCACTCCCATCACACGCATATACGCCCACACATAAACACACACAATTCACTCAATTCACACAATTCACTCACATTCACACACAGTCACTGACATTCACACACAGACACGCACCACACACAGGCAATTCAGTCACATGGCTCAAAGTCAGTCCTCACCTTGCTACGGTTCCCTTCCCAGTGTCGCCTCAGCCTTTGGCCCTCAGCGTCCCCTTCCCACGCCTGGACAGCTGGAGAGCCCTGAACAGACCCTATCTTCATGCCTCCAGTACTAGCCCAAGCACTTCCCTCTGCCAAGAGCACTAAGTGGAACTCAAGGTCACTTCTCAGGACCCTTCCCTGCCCCTCCTCCTGCCAGGTGACCTGGGGATCCTGCTGGCCCCGTTTAACAATGAAGCACACCATAGTTAGTTCAGCTGACGTCGGTCTCCCAGACTTACTGCCACCTACACAGCACGGGGACTGACTGATTTTATTCTTTATTTCGTGTTTTTTGTTGGAGTGTCTGTTGAAAGTAAAGCCATCCAATTAGGAACAATCCAAAGGCAGCCAGCAGGGATCAAGAAGGCACGGGCTGTGGCCGCAATCCTCAGTGTCTGATGGGGAGAGGGATTGGTAATGGAAAAGGCCCAGGAAAGCAGGCCAGAGTGTCCCCCAAAGTATGAGAAATCACTCGAGAGACATTCGGAATGGGACCTAAGACAGAAGCCACCACCAGGCACCCTTAAGGCAGGGCAGTTGCAATGGTTGCTGCTTGGAATACTTCTGGCTAGGAGTGGCACATGGTGGGCACAGGGCAGGCATGGGAAGTGGGGGCACCAAGGCCACAAGATGTGTGGGCAAGTAGCCCAGTGTGTATGGAATAGCGTGTTTATTGGTCAGCAGTGACATCTACTGTCACACTTGAGAACTGCATCCACAGCCAGATGGCCTGCTGTGAAGACCTCAGGGCAAACTGGGGAACCCTGCCCTTCTCGGAAGGTGATGCTAGGGGGATGAGCAACACCTTTCTTAGAGGTTTGAATTCCTCAGGGCCCCTCCAGCATCTTGGTCTTCCTAATTCCAATGTCCTCCCTTGATCCCCCAGCCCTAGGGGTAGCAGCTTCTTGCAGTGTTTACCTCCGTGTTAATCTGGATTCTGTCTTTGAAGTTCTCTAATGCCTGGTTACCAACTCTTTATATTAAGTTCTCTCTGTTAAAATGATTGTGATGAGGTCCATCCCATGGATATACATGGAGGTCTGTGTGACAATGTACAATCCTACTATTTGCTGTTATTACAAAACTGTCCTAGAAGACATGAATGCTTGTTAAAAGAAATCTTTCAAGCTTCCTAGACTTCAAAGACCATTGCTATGCCCTGTGAAACATCCCCTACCATCCTTTAATAGTTGGCAATTTGAATTGGTTACTTACTTAATATTTTGTTGCCCTGGTGATACAATTATGTTGACTTGCTATTGTCAAGTTACCTTGGTTAACCACGATGAGGGTTACGAGCACCGACTTTTACTCCATAAGCATAACACAACATCATAGTAAAACCAGTAACTCTTGGTTTCCTATTCAAAGTGTTTGGAATCTTTATTATATTTAAAACACTGATGACATTTGCCAATTTTTGAGTGTTCTTCACGTTACTGATTTGTAGGAGTTTTTTATGTATTGCAGATTTAGTCTCTTACTGGTTATGTATGCTGTACCTAAGGAGAAGCAGCACTGCCAAGGACCCAGTCTTGCCTGTGCAGAGCTTCACATGAAGCTGGAGACAAGGGACTGGGGCAAGATGGAAAGATAAACAGGGGCAAGTAAGTAACAGAATGAATCCTCATGGCGAATCTCCTGGGCCCCATCCCAGACCCTTCAGGGGATCCTGGCAATTCGAAGTAGCATAGTCGGATAGGCCTCTGGTGGGGGTGTTGGGAGGGTTTTCTTGGCCGCCTGTTCCAGGATGCTCAAGATGATGCTGTGGGCCTCCTGGCACAGCTCAGCACCCAGGAAAGCCTCCACTCGTTCACGCCATGCTGCCAGTTGTGGCCGTCCCTTGAATAGTTCGTAGCCAACAGCCACCGGCTGCAGGAACAAGGATGGAAAGGTTGTGGGGATACAACTTTCCCAGTTGTCACTGCCAACCCGAATGCTGGAACCATGGGCAAAGATATCAGAGACATGGTCCATTCCCCAGCCCCGATGAATGGACCATGGAGGCCCAGGCAGTATGTTCAGCCTTAGAGGCCAAGAGCAGCCGGGGTGAGATCCCACACCCAGGCAGGAGGCAGAAGCTCAGGGTTCTGGCCCCAGATCATCCAGAGACTTGCTCTATGACTCTGGGCAAAGTCCTGGCTTTCTCCAGGCCTCAGTGTTTCTGTCTGCCTCATGGGTGTGGCACGAAGAGGGACGCTGCCCACAGGCTGAGCTCACACCTGCATCAGCTCCTCTAGCGCCATGAGATCAGCCAGCGTCACCTGCTGGCCAGCAAGGAAGAGCCTGTCCCCCAGGAACTTGTTCTCCAGCCATTGCAGGGCCTGGTCTATGGCAGTCCTGTTGCGTTCCACCTTCTCTTCGGGCACCTGGACCCCAATGAGTGGCCCCAACACCTGATGGGGGCAGAGAGTGGGTCAGTGGATGGCTCCTGCCTACTCCCAACTATTCTCTGAATGCCAACCACTCTCCAGATGGCTCTCCTCACCTGGACCCACATGGGTACACCAAAGGTGCCGCGGATGCAGTCAGCATGCCAACCCAGGTACTCATGAACACGGGCACGAGCCTGCAGGTCAGATGGATACCAGTGGTCCGCCGTCTGGTACTTACAGCTCAGGTAGATCAGGATGGCTGAGCTGGGAATGAATGGGCAGTGGCTGTAAGGACACTGGCACCAGGCCTTTACCCCCAGCTGCTCCCATCCGCCAGTGGGGCCTGGGGGTTTCTCTGCATTTGAAGGACTGCCCTCCAGCCTCACCCTCCATCTCCAGCTCCCCAACACCAACCCCTCCTCCCCCGAGTCTCCTCCTGTCTTTGTTTTCTTAGGCACCGACTCTTGGCTGGACCTTCTGCTTTGCACTTTGAGAACCTCATCTCTGTGATATCCCAGCAGCTGCCCTATGAGATAGAGACTCCCATTAGCCCTTTAGCACAAGAGAAAACTCAAGGTCAGAATGGTCAAGTGACTTGTCTGAGGCAGTGCAGCTCAGAAAAGGCTCCCTGGACCACTGGAACCCAGCACGGGGCCGGCACACAGTGGATACTCCGTGGAGTCACTTGCGTGCCCATGCGCATGGATCAGGGATCACGAGGGGAGCCAGGTCTTCGTTCGGCCCTCCTCTGACAGGTCCCGCAGCCATCACTTCTGCAGCCACCTGACCTCTTGTCCTCTTCCTGCCCAGCGGCTGGACCTCACCACGAGCTGTGCCCTCAGGCCATGGCACTGGCCTCTAGGCCTGGCCTGGGCAGATTGGGGTAGTCACAAGTCACTAGAGGCTCTTTTCAGCTTGCATTTGTTGAACCCACTCTGTGCAACACTGGAAAAATGTTCCCTTGTCTTCTCTTCCAATATCCTTCAGTCTGGGAGCAGAGAGGCCCTGGGGCTCAGATGACGCCAAAGATGAGAGGTGCGGGGACATGCTCTGTCAGCCCCTGCTCAACCCAGGCACCCCCCAAGCTGTACCTTCTCCCCAGATCCCTCTCCTTTTCTCTCGCTGCCCCATGGGGTATGGGAGGGCCCACAGTGGGGACAGCCAGGGTCACATGTGCTCCGGATGTGGGAGGGGAGAGGGAAGGAGGGCACCTTTCAGTCAAGATGAAATCACCATCCTTGAGCACAGGCACTTTCTGCAGGCTGTTGATCTGGGAGAACTCCTTGCTTCTGTGCTGTCCTGAAGAGTCAGACAAGGTCTTCAGAGTAAAAAAAAGCTGCACTTCTCCACCCTCCCTCTCCTCCCCAAGCAGAGCTCCACACCCCTAAGAAACAGCAAGGTCTGGTTCCAGAGGGCTGGATCAACCCGATTTCCTGGGTGGGCCTCCCTGCCCTGCCACATTCTGGGGCAGCTGGGGGGCTTTGGTGGGTGGGGCCAGGTGCAGCAGGTGGATGCAGAGAAGTTTTCTAGCCAGGGCTCTGGTGGGCCAGGGGAAGGGAGGCAAACTGGGGTGGCTCATCTCTTCCCATCTCTTAATTCTTACAACAGCACGTCCTTCCCAACGTTTTCCGGGCTTTGTGAATTTAAATGCGTGCATTCCACGCAATTCTGAAAACTCCATTAAGTATTTTCTTTCCACCCCTACAGAACAGAAGGTAACATTATCCTCCTTTTCAGAAAGCAAGCTAAGGTTCAGAGAAGGCTGTGATCCCTCCAAGGTCACTCAATCGACAGCATTCTCTGGTGGCAGACGCTGCAGGTGGTGGTGAGGGGGCTGTGCGGGCGGCGAGACGCTCAGGGCGGAACAGGGCAAGTGGCCTGGGGGTGCACTGGATTTGTGGACACGCGGGGAAACGGGTTGGGCCCACCTTTGATAATATCCACAGTGCGCAGCTCGAAGGGGATGCCATTCTTCTTGGCGAAGATGTAGACGGCGCGGCTGGGCTGGGACAGCAGGTCCAGGTACAGTTCTAGGCCCATGGCGGGGGCTGCAAGGACAGCGGGGATGGCAGTGAACGCGCTGATGGCGGTGTGGGCAGCGGCTGTGGCAGGCTCAGGGCGGCCGCGGGAAATAGGCTCAGGCCCCACTCCCTGGGACAGCAGCCAATTGGAGCGCAGCACCCCAGGACCCGCCTCGCCCCTTCGGTTTCTGTCCAATCCTGGCCAGCCGTGTTGGAGACCAAGACTCCACCACCAGGTCCGTGTGTCCCTACAGGGAGGGCGGTCGCTATGAATGCACAGCTGGGAAGGTGGCGTTGGAGCTGGGGGCCCTCGACTGGGAGGGAGGACGGCGGATGCAGGGGGCCGACTGCAAGGGGAAGAGGAACGAGCTGGACAAGGAGAAGCAGGTCTGCTTTTCGGGATCCCGGTGCCAGGAACCCTGCCTGGTTCCAGGCGTCATCCCGACCCAGAAACGACTGGGCCCCGCCATCCTGGAAAGGCCCCAGCGCACGGACATCTGATGGTTCTTTCAGAGCTTTGTTTCTCGGCGCTGCAAGGCGGCGGAAGGGAGGGAGCGAATGGGATCCTCTAAAAGGGATCTTAGAGTTTCAGCCAGCGGCATGTGACACTTGCAGGTGTCCCAGACTAGTGGGAACCTTGACTGGAAGGCTGGGGTTAAGGATGAACTTTCTACCATCCCTGCAGAGCAGCTGCTGCCAGACAGCAGGAGCTCCCGCTTCATGCACAGGATGGGGCTGGGAGCCCGCCGCCACAGGGGGCAGGAATGACTGCGCAGGAACCTCCTTTCTTCTCCCTGAATCCCAGCCCTGGCATCTCACCACGGGGCACAGTGATGGTCCAGGGCTGGGCCCGGGACTCTAGCTGAATCTTTCAGAGTATCCCATCCCTCTGGCCAGTGGCCAAGCGAGTGAACCAGAACGCTTCCTTGGGGGTTTTGAAATTGGAACTGGAGAGAGGAGCTCCCTATGGGGAGGTAAATGGGAGCTGGGGCCATCTGTAGTGACATTTCCTGAGTTCATGGAGTAGGCGAGTCTCAGAGAGAAAAGCTGACTCAGAGAAAGGGAGTGATAGCCGGGCACGGTGGCCCACACATGCAATCCCAGCTACTCTCATGGGATCTGTTTGTCTGATGTCTCGGTATGAAAGGACTTTCTAAGCCTCAGAACAGTGGAAGAACTGAACAAAGGAAAAAACTAATACATATACAAGGAGATTTTGTGGAAGAAAAAAAATGGATCAAACTTAAGCAAAAAACTGGGAAGGATCTTGGTAAAAGATACGTCAGAAGGAAGTAATATTCTTTAAGATATTCTTAGAGGTCGGGCGTGGTGGCTCAAGCCTGTAATCCCAGCACTTTGGGAGGCCGAGATGGGCGGATCACGAGGTCAGGAGATCGAGACCATCCTGGCTAACACGGTGAAACCCCGTCTCTACTAAAAAATACAAAAAACTAGCCGGGCGTGGTGGCGGGCACCTGTAGTCCCAGCTACTTGGGAGGCTGAGACAGGAGAATGGCGTAAACCCGGGAGGCGGAGCTTGCAGTGAGCTGAGATCTGGCCACTGCACTCCAGCCTGGGCGATAACGTCTCCAAAAAAAAAAAAAAAAAAAAAAAGATATTCTTAGAAATTCATGGGACAGGCGGGGTGTGGTAGTTCACGCCCATAATCCCTGTACTTTGGGAGGCAGAGGTGGGTGGATCACTTGAGGTCAGGAGTTTGAGACCAGCCTGGGCAACATGTCTCTACTAAAAATACAAAAATTAGCCGGGTGTGGTGGCACACTCGGGAGGCTGAGGCAGGAGAATCACCTGAACCTTGGAGACATAGGTTGCAGTGAGCTGAGATCATACCGCTCCACTCCAGCCAGGCCACTGGGTGAGACTGTCTCAAAACAAACAAACGAACAAACAAAAAGAAGAGAAACTCATCAAAGAGAGGAAAAAAATGAGCAAAGGAAATCAGCAGATGTTTCATTGAAGGACAGAGAGAAATGGTCAATACATAGATGAAAACATGTTTAACTTCAGTAATAACCAAGTAAGCACACACCAACACAACATGCACGGTTTTTATCAAATGTGTACATGTTTTGGAAATGAGTACTCCCAATTAATATGTACAGAGCACTTCACAGTGCCTAGCACAGGGGTGGCACCCTGTGTGTGAGAATGAAATAGGTAGACTCATGCCCTGCAGAAAGTAAAGGACTGCCTCTCTGGAGGATCCCTTGGGTAATAAGGAGGTTTTCACACCTTAACTGTGTCTGTCTTCAGGCCTGGGAGCAGAGCCCCCTCCAGCTGGTGGGGAAGGGAACATAGTGTGTTTGAGGACAGAATGGAGAGAAGTTGAGTAGAGTAAGTGTAGACTCTTCCTACCCAAAGTGTGGTCCATGGACCAGGAGTATCAGCATCACCAGGGAGCTTGTTGGAAATACAGAGGCTCAGGCTCCACTCTGACCTTACTGATTGGGAGCATAAACTTTAACCAGATTCCAGGGGGGATTCATATACACATTCCCATTTGATAAGTGGGGGGTAGTAGGAGGTGAGAAGTGGGGAGGGGATGGCTATTGCACTGGAGAAGGCTGACTTTGTGTTGAGGCCATTTTCACGAGGGCAGTGGGGAGCCATGGAAGGCTTTATGCAAGGGAGGGTATGGGCAGATTGAGATTACAGAAGGATCCCACCAGTTGCCTTGTGCGATGACCCAGGGAGAAGGGGAGGCTGCCCCTGTTTGAGTAGGAGATGAGGGCTACTAGTGGCCATTAGTGGAAAGAAGTGAGCAGAAATGCAAAGGACTGGTGATGATAGGATGAGGGTGGGAACCAGGATGGGCTTTGGGCAGACCCAGAACCCTCTGTCTGCCTGTTGGCCCACCAGATAATCCCTGTGTTCCTGGGCGAGTCAGTGCCACCTGAGGTGTTGGCAGCCACTTTGGCTGAGCTGGACGGGTGCCTGCAGCTGCTTGAGGACAAGTTCCTGTGGGACCAGGCCTTCCTTACTGGGTCCCATATCTCTGTGGCTGACTTGGTGGCAATCATGGAGCTGATGCATGTGAGTGCCATGGGGTAGGGTGCCCACTGGGCAGTGGGGTATCCGGGAAGGGAACTGACATCCCAGCTCAGGTTGTCTTTTCTGGATGTGGGACCCTGTGTGAATCACTTTTCCTTCTGAGCCTCAGTATCCTCATCTATAAAATGGGGCTTTACAAACCCTCACCGCAGATATATTAAGAGGCTTCCAAGTGTCCCTAGGGAGGGGGACACACCAGCCCATCACACACATGGTGGAGGAGGGAAAATCCAATCAGAGAACCCCTAAAGCAGGTCATGCTGCCTTACGCCTGGCTATGCCCAGCCCCTCCGCTGACTCTGTCTTCCCCTAGCCCATCAGCGCTGGCTGCTGAGTCTTTGAAAGCAGACCCACACTGGCAGCATGGCGCCCAATGTGTGGAGACTGCAGTGGGGGAGGACCTCTTCCGGGAGGCCGTCGCAGCTGTCCTGAAGGCCAAAGACCTGCCTCCAGTAGAACCTGCTGTTAAAGAGAATCTGAAGCCCTTAATGCAGCTTTTCTTACTGTGAGTGCGTGTCCCGGACTTGCTGAGCCACTGAGGGGGTGCTGTGTTAGTAGAATAAAGACATGGAGCCGTCTGTCTCCTTGGTTGTAAAGAAGACATATCTGCACAGGCTCTGGTCCACAGTTCCTCCAGGTATCATGCCCGCATTCCTTTTGTCTCCTACCCCATTCCTTTCTAGCTTCCATGTGACCTCTGAAAAGAGCTTTGGCAAACACTTATTTGACCCTGTCCTTCTGTGTGGAACCTTCTATGGTTCTTCACTGCCCAGAGGCTAAAGTACAAGTCATTGAACTTTGCATTCAAGGCCTTGCTCCCACTTCTCCAGGTGGCCCCTTCTGCCTGCACATTTTTATACCCCTCTCTGGGCTCCCACCTTGGCTTCTGCTCATGCTGTTCCCTCATCTTCTTTGCCTGGTGCCCTTCCTGGTCTTTTGGCATTTGGCACCCTGTCTCTTCTCCAGGGAGACTTCCCTGACCTCCCCAACCCCAGTCCAGGTCAGATGACCTCTCTGGGCACCTCAACCCCAGAGTTTCCTTGCGGGGGATACCCCTGGACGGAGCATGTATCATAGATGAGGGGTGACCTGGTGAAAAAATGTCTGAATCAGGATCAGCCTTGGTCTTCTAGGTCTCTCTCCTCACTGTAGGGCGATGTGTCCCACAAGTGGGGTGCAGGGCTGGTTTGTGGACCTCCTTGCAGGAAGGGAAGTCCCTGGTGATTTCCTGGCCCTCTCCCATGCCTCCTCATCACCTTGACCACAGTCTTCTCTACACCCCACTCCCTGACCACTGGCTTGTCCATGCCCCACACCTGGTCCCAGACTTGCCACCTGTCCCTGCCCTCTCCCCTTAGGACTGTCATATTTACCTGTCGTGTGTCTCAGACCTTCTGATATCTGAGTCATCTAATAAACAAACTGCTAACAGGACAAGATCATGACAGACAGAGACTCTGTCGGCCTTTCAGTGGAGGCTCCTTTGAGTATGCACACTTATAGAGAATGTTATACATGTAGCTGAAATTGTACATATAAACCTACACATTTTTTCTTTCTTTTTTGCGGGGGAGGGGGGAGCCTGGGTCTCACTCTGTCATCGAGGGTGGAGTGCAGTGGCAGTCATAGCTCACTGCAGCCTAGATCTCCTGGGCTCACTCAGCCACCCAAGTAGCTAGGGCTGCAGGCGCACACCACAGCACCCAAATTTTTTTTTTGTAGAAAATAAGAGAATCTTGCTATGTTGCCTAGCCTGATCTTGAACTCCTGGGCTCAGGCAATCCTCTCTTAGCCTCCCAAAGTGCGGAGATTACAGGTGTGAGCCATGTTGCTTGGCCACAACTTCAATCATATTTGAAATGTACAATTCAAGTGATTTTACCACACTGACCACAGACTCCTGTTTAAGCCACACCAACAGAGTTCCATGTTTTGTGTTTTTTTTTGAGATGGAGTCTCGCTGTCGCCCAGGCTGGAGTGCAACGGCGCGATCTCGGCTCACTGCAACCTCTGCCTCCCCGGTTCAAGCGATTCTCCTGCCTCAGCCTCCCGAGTAGTTGGGATTACAGCGCCTGCCACCATGCCTGGCTAATTTCTTTAGTAGAGACGG